TTAAGGCGAAAGGGTACGTGCTACTGATCAAGAGATTGACTTTATTTGTTTCCGACGCGTTGCAGCTTAGTCTTTTAGACTGGCAAGCCTCACGATGCCGACTAAGATGCCTTTGAAGCGTCTGCTAATGTATCAAGTCTGACGCTGAGAATTACGATACCAGCTATAGCAGAGGACTTCGGACAAGATGCATCCAAATAAGCTACCCTGACAGCACAACTGAGTTGCGAAAGCGAAGTCAGACCACATCTCTACATCAGAAGTAGATTGCGACCAAAATAGGGGCCGCGCCATCTTGTCCTTCATATCTACCTTTCACTTCCTTTGGAATGGCGAGTTTAATGGATTTGTAAATTAGTAAATATGCTTAATCGGAAGCTAGATGAAAAATGTTTTGGAGCTAGGATTGTAGTTTATTTCTAATAAGTCCTCCCTCCAGCGTTATGCAACACAGAGACATTTAATTCGAATTGTCTGAGCGTGTAACGATTTTTTTGAAAGTTTACTTAGAACTGAAGCAAGAAAGATGGTTGGCTCCAATCTTACATACTTCTTATAGCTTTGTCTGCTGAATGGCTAAGACAAGTCTCTAGGTCTGCAGCCAGCAGCCTTTATTGTCTTAGTGCTCTGTGAATTTTCTTCAAGATATGTTTCATACTCTAACCATGCGCGCATTATGACCGATGCAAGCTCTTCAAGGAATCTCGTGATAAAGTTTTAGGACTTATTCACACAAGTTTACAATCGCAACTTCAAGACAACCTTTCTTAAGATTCCAAGGAGGCTAATTTATTAAGCTCTTTCTCTTGTCATTTTAAATGAAAATTAAGGAAAAACAACATGAATTCATCTGAGTATTCGTTGAAACTCATATTCTCTTCATATATACTAAGTACGAATATTTACCAAACTTTTCGAGATACATCACTTGACATTAAAACTGTGCTTGTTTAAGGATATGCAAGACAAAGAAGGCTGTAGCCTAAGAAAAGATAGTTCTAAGCCACCAAGAAGTCGACAAAAAGCATAAAGTGAGAGAAATTGCTGGGAAGTATGCACTCTGGAGCGGATATTTTCGGGTCACTTACTGAAAATACCTAGTCAAT